CAGCAGTGAAAAACTTGAAAATATGACATAATGAAAAAAGTCACAGACAAAGAATCAAGAAACCCGAATTACTTGATTATTAATTAATTATTGACAAATTATTTAAGGTCTTTGAGTACATTGTCAATGAGGCAAAAGGTTGGGGGCAACCCTAGTCATGCAGGATGAGCTTAAACACCACAGCACATAAAGGACTCATGCCCCAAGAAATGAGAAGCTTTCAAGGAACACAGTTTGAAAGAAAGCCCCAATAGATAATTCTGTCTCTAAAAACAAATACAGTATTTTCTTCAAATTGCTAGAGAAGTAAATGAGACATAGAGCCATAGGAGAAATAAAAATAAATATTATTACCAAAGAAATTTTCACATGGAAAGCAAATAAAATGTTCCACAACTGAAAATATTCTGCTTACGATGATGTTTCTAGATTTTTTTTAATGTATATAATATGCATGTATATTTTCTCTGTCTCAATAGCTCGTAGTAAGCAAGAAAATCCAGAGTCATTATAAAAGTTCATGCTTCACTTCTCTGCATTCCTTTGTTTTTAAAGAATTCTCACAAGAAATAAACAGTCTACATCTGTACCCAAATGTTGGAAGTTAATTTGAAAAATAACTTCAACGTACACAAAGCCTCTTTAGATTTTTTTTTAAATGGCTGAAATTTTAAGATGATTTTAATTTTTGAGATTCAGATTTAATCTTGACGTAGGTAAAACATGAACTTTGTTTTTTTGTTTGTTGGTGAGTATGTGTTTTAAGGGTTAGTGCCCATAGTAAATGGCTACAATAATGGAAGTTGAGGATATAGCCCAAGTCATACAGCTTGCAAGTGGCAGGGCCCAGATATGTACCCTAAAAATTCAGACCTCTAGGGGCCTTGCAGGTGAACGGCAACGTCATTGTATTTATATATACAGAGCTTATGACTTTAATTTTTTCAATAAAGAAATCTAAACAAGGTTAAAAAAAAGAAAGAAAGAAATTCAGTCCTGCTCATGTTACACAGGGCAGGATCACAGTTGCAACTGATTACATTAACAAAACATATATCATTCATGCATTCACTAATTAATCAAATATTTGGAGAGCATCTACCCAACGTCAGATACTATTGTGAGTGCAGCAGTATGGCAGTGAACAGGAGATGAAATTCCAGGGGCATGCTGGTAAGCATTCAACAACATGGTGAAGGGAGTGAGCAGGTAGAGGACCTATTTGCAATATGTGCTCACTTCCATAATGTAAATACTCCTGTCAACATAGATTTCAAACTAGCAAGCTGACATCAGTGAACTTGAAGTTGGAAAGAAACGTGCATATTCAACTCTTGTGAGCCTATGTGAGCTGGCTCCAGTAAGACGCTGAAAACAATTCCTGTCCAAGTGCAAAATATATGTTAGTGGAGATAGAGAAGCAACATACCAGACCAGCAACCTGTAGAGTATGTTAGATACTGAAATGTGCAATGGAGGAAAAAAAGAAAGACAGGGAAGTTGGGCATGCATTGTGAGGCAGGAAGGGGCAATTTTATATAGGATAGTCAGGAAAGAGACCCTTAAAAATGACATTTGAGCAAAGCTCTGAAGGTGGTGAAGGATTGGGCCGAGTAGATAACAGAAAAAGAACATTTCAAGGTAGGTATTTCTAGGAAGTCAGATAATAAAGGCTTGGGTATTTATCATGAGGATTTTAATTTTTACTGAGTGAAATGGAAAGACATTGAGAAGCTTTTCTCTTTTGTTTTGGTTTTATTGTTTCTTTGTTTTTTGAGTTGGAGTCTCAGTCGCCCAGACTGGAGTGCGGTGGCCACTCCCGGCCACTGTAGCCTCGACCTGCTGGGCTCCGGCGATCCTTCTGCCTTACCCTTCCAAGTAGCTGGAACTACAGGCGCACGCTACCATGACCGGCTAATTTTTTGATTTATTGTAGAGATGAGGTCTCGCCAAGTTGCCTAGGCGGGTCTCGAACCCGCGAGCTCAGGCAATCAACTCACCTCAGCCTCCCAAAGCGCGGGATTACAGGCTGAGCCACCAAGCACAGCGTGTTTTGTTTTTAATCAAGAAATGACATAATATCACTTATATTTTTTATATTAGTATATTGTTCAAAGATCATTCTTGCTGATGTTTCAAGAATAAATTATTTGGGGATGGAAAAAGGTAGATTCTCTTAGAATAACACAGACAATAGATAAGGGTAGCATGGATCAGGGCAGTAGTGGAGAGATAGTGAGAAGTGGTGAGATTCCAGGTGTATTTTAATTTTAGAATCAACAGAATTTGTAGACAGGCTGGGTGTGAGTTGTGACCCAGAAAATAATTCTAAGGATTTTGCTCTAACTGGAAGGATAAACTTAGCATTTACTGAATTGGAACAGGCAATGACATGAACAGTTTTGGAGGAATGATCAGGTGTTGATTTGAAATGTGTATAGTTTGATAAGCTTATTTGCCATCTAAGTAGAGATGTCGAACAGAAACAGTGGGTATGAGTTCAGTATTAGGAAAAGGTTTGTGTGAGATTCAAGATAGTCAAGATAATATTTAGAGCACTGGAACAAGGTGAGTAAATGTAAGCTTATCTAAAATTAATTTATCTATTTAACAAACATATCTTTCAGCACTACTCTCAGTACTTTGCAAGCATAAACTCATTTAATTATCATAACAGTCCTAGGGTATAAGTACTATTATTTTCCCTTTTTACAAATAAAGAAACCAACACACAGAGATTAAGTAACTTGCCCAAGTTCACAAGTAAATGGCTAGTGGTAGATCTGAAAATTCTAACCCAAACTGTCTGCATCCAGATTTCTTGTTAAAGAGGCCATCTAAAGACCTGAGTCTTCAGGAACTAGATTAGGGAGATGAGACAGACCAGCGAATTTTATTCAAAGTAGGCAACACATTTTACTTTTAACTACAGAAATTTTAACTATGCTCAGGGAGAGTAGATATAGTAGATACAGAGAATGGATGCAAAATCAATGTTTTGTTTCCCTTTACACTTTTATAAATTTACTATAATAAGCACATCTTAATTCTAGAACTAGGAAAGATTGTATCAAAATAATAAAAGCAGAAAATTTAAAACATTTTCAATGGAAGCACTCTATTCTCTGTTTACAACACAGTTCCAGTGCTCAAAGAGAAGGTACAGTGATAATCACTACTGAAACACTGATGTGAAACTCTCTGTATGAAGTATGAATGGTTAGCAAATGATTTATTGCTCAAATTAGAACAATTCTTGAGAGTAAAAAAGAGCACTATCAATTATGCTATGACAACAGGCTTAAGTTAGAACTACTCTAAACATACTTGTAGGTTCCCGGGTAGATCCTCCTTAAAAACTACTCTAAACATACCTGTAGGTTCCCAAGTAATTCTTCCACAAGAAATATTCTAAACATACCTGTTCAAGTGCCCCAGGTGGCTCTTCCTTAAGAACAACTCTAAGCATACCTGTAGGTGCTCAGGTAGTTCCTCCTTAAGAACGACTCTAAACATACCTATAGGATCCCCATGTAGCTCTTCCTTAAGAACTACTCGCAAAGAACCAAGTACCACATGTTCTCACACATAAGCAGACCTTGAACAACTATCATAATACTCTAAGAAAGGAATTGGCAGTAGTGGGAAACTGCCAGGGGAGGAGGGGGACACCTCATCAGCAAGGGTAATTGCATAATGAACATTTGTATACCTAAGCCTGAATTGTACCCACATATTTAAAATTTTTTTTTAATTTTTTTTAAAAAGAACTAGTCTAAAAGTATCTGTTGGTACCCCAGGTAGCTCTTCTTTAAGAACTACTCTAAACACACCTGTAGGGGCCCCAGTTAACTCTTTCTTAAGAACAACTCTAAACATAACTGTAAAGGTGCCCAGGTAACTGTTCCTTAAGAACTACTCTGAACACACCTGTAGGTTCCCCAAGTAGCTTTTCCCTAAGAATGGAGTTTCATGAGTACAAAGAAGCAGACTCTTATCTGGTCCATGCACACTATCAAACATTGTTGCTGCCTTCTTACTATTCTTTGTAGGTTAAATATACCTTTAGAACTAGGCATCAGAAAACAAACTGACCACCAATTATATATTATTCTAGGTGGGTATTGGAGATATTCTATTTGGAGTCATCAGTTCTTATAATGAGACATAATTATACAATAGCCCTCCTTATTCCCAAGGGATATGTTTTACAATCCCCATAGATGCCTGAAACCACAGATAGTACTGAATCCTATACATACATATCTGTGATGAAGCTTAATGTACAGCTTGGGTACAGTGAGTAATTAACAACAATCAGTAATAATAAAATAGAACAATTAAGTCAAGGAAAACGTCCTTTAACACAAGCACTATGATATCATGACAGTCCAGCTGGTAACCAAGATGGCTACCGAGTGACCAACAGGCAGATAGCGTCATAGCATGGATATGCGGAACAGAGGGATGATTCCCGATCTGGCTGCATGCAGCAGGGTGGCGTGAGATTTCATCATAGTACTCAGAAAAGCGCACAATTTAAAACTTATGAACTGTTTATTTCTGGAATGTTCTACTTAATATTTTCAGACCACAAGTGACCATAGATAACTGAAACCAAGGAAGGTGAAATCACAGTAAGCAGGATCTACTATACAGACTTCAGCCATTTTGGTTATTAAGGCCTCATTTAAAAGGAGCTTTAAGATGAAATGAAATACTAGAATATAAGTATAAATGCAACCCAATAAGAATCTGGTAAGATAAATGTAATCTACTAAAAAATCACTTTACAATATTTTTCAAAAAATTATCTCTGTTTCTTTTCAAAATTATCTTTATTTCTATTTTAACTTAAATGAACTGAAAAAAATTCTAAATGTCCATTTCTACTTCCTAAGCTACTTTTACTACTACATAAATACTAACTTTAGTGTGGAATATATGCAAATGAGATGGCAAAATGGAAATACAAGGGAATATACTGTACCTTGTTTTACCTGTAAGGAACACACACCTGACAAAAGGCAATTTTCACATCCAAGGTTGGTTCACTGCAGTAGTATAAGAAATGGAGGCTCATAAATACCTGCAGGAAAAAAAATAGAGTATAAATTTCCAAATCACTAATTTTTCATTACTTTTTTTTTTTTGAGTTGGAGTCTCACTCTGTCACCCAGCCTGGAGTGCAGGTGGCCACTCCCGGCCACCGCAGCCTCGACCTGCTGGGCTCCAGCGATCCTTCCACCTCAGCCTTCCAAATAGCTGGAACTACAGGCATGCACTACCACGCCCGGCTAATTTTTGTTTTATTGTGGAGATGAGGTCTTGCCAAGTTGCCCTGGCGGGTCTCGAAACTGCAAGCTCAGGCAATTTATTCACCTCAGCCTCCCAAAGCACGGGATTACAGGCTGAGTCACCGAGCCCGGCTTACTTTAACAGTATATATTTTAACAATTACGCTATAATTAACATTAGCAATAACTGAATTATGACATTACTACATATAAAATAAGTTGTAAATATTTTATCTTCTTTAATGATCAATGAATACCATCACAATCATAAAGATTAGATATAAGAAACCAGATATACTTTATAAGTTAAAGTGAATATATCCTATTATATAGCACTTTCAGTTCTACATGTCTAATTTTAAAAAACCTCAAATGTATGCTCCAGAGGAGAAATATATATTTATGATATTTACTATAGAATACAGGCACTATTAAATAAAATATAATTTATAATAGAATTATATATAGGACTTGGAATAATTAGATTAGTGCTTAGCATGTCAGTATAGATAAATTTTTCAAACATGATATTTAGTGGGAAAAAATTAAGTTTTTAAAGATCACTATATTAAGTATTTAAAGATCACTATAAAGATCACTATATTAGTGTAAATGTTTAACATATACAAAAATGATAATATACATTGTTTTAAGTACATAGAACCATAGAGTAAAAACAAAATGGGTACTATATCAACATCTGTTTATTCTTGATGGTAAGTAAAAACATTTGAATTATATTATTTTCTGTATGTTCGAAGTATTCTATAATCTTGCAAAGCTTAAAGAAGAGGAAAAAGTCATTTAATGCTGGGAATGCCAAATTAGGTACTGGGTTATTTGAGAGTGATGCAGCAGAATCAAAGAAACGCAGCTAAATTGTATTCAGTTCAATTAAACTCACTTTGTTGAATGCTTATTGTAGTATTCTGTGAAATTAAACTATTTTAAAACCACTATTGACATAAGACTTCTGTTTCTGGCAATATGATTGGTTAGGCATCCTGAAAATCACTCTCAATGCAAAACTCCTGAAAATGTTAGATGAACTATACAAAACATCTTTTAAAATGTATAGCTGAGGTCCCAAGAAAAGTACCGAGAAACTGAAAACCATGTGAAAGGGTACAGACAGAGAAGTCAAGAAGCTGAAGCTGCTGCTTGTCCCAGGCCATCTGCTGGTCTCTGATGCCTAGAACGTCAGTTCCTAAAGGGTGACATGCAGAGTCCAGGAAGCAAGACTTAAGACTATAGTAGAAAGTTATGTTGGAAACACTGAAATAGAGCCTACTACACAGGAAGTTTAAAACAAACTTCAGGAAGAAGCAAAATAATCCCAGAAAGTAGGTCTGAATTGCAAGAAAAAATAATGCGTTGCATTGGAACTCATGAATAGATATTTTAAATGTAAGGAAGAATGAAAGAACAAGGATATATAAGACATTCCAGAAGAAGAACAAGGCAGGCGTTTGCCTAGGGTGGGATAAGGAATTGCTGTACCAGAGATCAGGAACTATTATAAAGCAGTAATAAGTAAATATATGCAGGATTGAAGCAGAGATAAACTGTGAATTAATAAAATAGAGAGTCCAGAAACAGACACACAAATACATGGAAATCTGATTACATTAATGTCTACATATTGCAGCCATTTGAGGAAAGAAGAATCTATACTTTAAGTCATGCTGAGACAATTGGTCATTTATATGGGAGGGGGAAAAAAGCAGATCCCTATAGGGAGACAATTCTCTGTGGGCCTTTCACATGTCTGCACGTTTTACAAACAGAAGCACTAGCCACCATCGTTGTTCCAGACTATCTACTCGAGGATGGTTATTCAGCAGACAACCTTGAAAGATAGAGACAGCAGCTCCGTTTGGAGTAAAGGATGGATTTGATTGCTCTCCAGTATAATAAATTATCTCTCTAAGGCAAAGATCAGACACACTTATTATAATAAAAGATTGGGGTTTCCTAAGCTCGAGGTTTCCCTTCAATAATGCAACCCACTGTGCAGAAGTCACCTGACCTTCTTTGTCTCACTCAGTGAAAATTAAGGCCCAAAGAGCTGAGGTGAATGTTCACACTCTAGCTGCTGTGATTGCTGTGAGTAATAAACACCTTTGCATCTGACCCAGGAATCTTGTGTCTTCTGACATGTCCATGAAAAGATGGCAGGTTACTTTGCGAGTTTGCAAACAGAACATCTGAGTCTCCCCAGAGTTCTTAACAATCCCACCTTACACTGTACACAAAAAAAATTCCAGCTGTATTAAAAACTTCAAGAAAGGCCAAACTTTAAATAGTATAGAAGGAAATGTAGTTGAATATGTCTAAGAAATATATCATAAATAGTAGATAAATCTGCTAAGCTTTAAAGAAAACTATTGATCAAATAAATGATATTAAAATTAATCATTTCTGTTTTTGAAAAGGCATAATAATGAGTTTTTAAAAGTAGCCCACAACTTTTATTGTTTATGATACATACTTTTCCATTCATTTTATCTTTTTGATTAGTTTCTTCTTGGTTTTGTCAAAGTATCTTTGCCTGACTCCAGGTTCATGAAGATATTCTCCCACATTTTCTTTTTTGAATCTTTCAATTGTCTTTTTCTCCCTTTTTTTTTTTTTTTTGGCTAGTAGTTCTAGAGTTAACAGTCTATATTTTTAATTTGTAATAATCTAGCTTCAAATAATATTATTCCATTTCATATATTGTTTAAGAAACTTACAATAGAGTTTTCCTCTCTATTTCTTGAGCTATTGATGTATTATATTAATATTTTACTTATACATATATTATATATTAGAACCCCTATAACATATCACTATTATTTTTGCTTTAAATAGTTACTCACATATTTGTGCATAGTGTTTATTATCTTTTTAAAATTTATTTTTAATCATTCATGGGTTTTGATGTTATTGTGAATGATATTTTTATTTTATTTCATTTTCAAAATGTTCATTTTCAGCATTCAAAATATTTTGCTTCATTGTTGTTCCATTGTCTGGTAGAATGTCATTAAACAGGGAAGTCTTCTCCCCATCATTTTGATCTCAGTCTCCTCACAGCACTTTTTTCACACTTCTCTTATGATTATCATATCATAGAATAACTGTTTCTATGTCTGTTCCATACTACATTACCACTGTCTCAAGAAAAATGGCTATGTTTTATTCATGTCCACAGCCCTAAGGCCCAGCACTATTCTTTGTATATAGCTAATGTTAAGAAAATGTTTATTGAATGAAAGAACTAAATTTTAAAAGCACAAATCTAAGTTTTTACATGGTCTCATATTGAAACCTGTGAATTGTCAACAAACTTGATGCTAACAAATTAAGAATGAGTAGTTCACAGTAGTAAAAGTATGAAAGAAAGTGTCCAAGCTGATGAGCACAGATAGCAGTTCAGCAGGGCTTTTTAGTTCTGTACTGCTAAAGTGGGCATGTGGGAAATAATAACATCCACTCCTCCTCAAAATGAACAATGTGTTTTAATTTTTAATGAATGAATAATCTTGCTATGAAAAACAGGCATCCTGACCTTTACTAGTTTGCATTACAAAGACTTCAGTATAGTACCATAGCTGTGTGATGCCATCTAGTCACTTCATAACTTTCTTGTTTCACAAAGGGATGTTAAAAGAAAAAGAACATTTACTATAATAATCCCAGTGAACTATAGAAAATTTGTCTACTAATTACATTTCCTAACAGCTTGACAGAAAGCATTTGGCACCACTGCAATGAAACAACATAAATAGTCAGGCATTATTTCCATATTATTCTAAAGTGGAATTAGTGATACTATCTTGTTGCAGTATAGGACCTGTGAGTAATTTGAAATGAAAAGAGATGGTAATTTGGGGAGTTTTGTGCTTTCAATCGTTAGTTGCTATTCTGGGAAAAGCCCCGTATGTGCATTCCTTGCTGTGCACTTTACTGAATTCTCCTTATTAGTGTGCCTATACCAGTTACTGGTTACTCTGAGCAAAGCAATAGGTCAAGTTGTATGAATGAGGTACACTTAAGAATTTATTGGGTTGAACTGGTGCATGGCACCTGCTATAAGTTAATGTAACTATAATGTGTTTTAATAGCTTATTATATTCTGTGTATATGAGATGTGCCAACTAACCCACAGGACGTTCAAGAAACTTTACAAATACAAAAATCAAATTGCCCTGGGCAGTTCCAGGGTCCCATGGTTGGTCCCTGAAATGCAATACATGCAAGAAAAAACCAATTAACTAATGATTTAAAAAAAAAAAAAAAATAGGTTCCAAGCAGTTTTTAGGTTATTTATAAATAATTTTTTATTTATTACATATTAGATTTATAATAAATGACTCTTACAACAGACAGTAAGCATATATAAGAAGATAAAGTCCTTGTAAATTATAAGAAAACATGCTGTCTCTTCCATGTTCAAAAGGATTCTCCCTGTAATATGCAAAAGACCAAATGAAAAGTTAAAAGTATGTCTTGAAACTCATAGTTTTATCTTCAAGGGCTGATATAGGAAACAGAATTAAATTTAATTTTCTATTAAGAATTGTGCATATCTCATTTTAAGATTTTATTGACATTATCATTTATAGCATGGGATAACAAACTATCGTCCATCAGTAAAACTAAGTTCATCACCTGTTTTTATAAATAAAACTTTATTAGAATGCAGCCATCCATTAGCTCATAAGTTGACTATGGCTACTTTCATCCTACAGTAGAAGAACTGAGTAACTGTGGCAGAAACTGCATGGCCTGTAAAGCCCAAG